AAAAAAAAAAAAAAAAAAAAAAAAAACTGTCATGAAAGGAGATTGCAAGGGTCCAAGCTCCATGTTGAGAGTGGACTGGAAAGAAAGTTTTCCTATCCTCACTGGCTGCTCCGGCTTTTCCTGCCTTTCCGTGTCTCCTTCCATTCCAGAACTTAGCACCTGCTCCCCTATTTCCTGCATCCCTCAACCTGGAAAGAATGCGCTCCCCACACAGGTCGGGGAACAGGTCTAGACTATACCTCCAATCCCCCCAGGAAGCCTTGTTGGTGCAGAGGTGGGTGTCATCTTTCCCTTCAGCTGTAAATTTTCAATTTAAGACGAGGTGATACAGCCTATCCAGGTACAGTTTTTGACAACGTGACAAAGCACCTCCAGTTTTCACACTCAGCCCGAGTGATGTTTAAAAAATGAATACCAGGCCATGTCCCGCCATTGCTTAAAACCTCTGGCATTTATTATCAGAACAAACTTGTTGCCATAAACACTTAAACGCTGTGTTTTCTGACCCCTGTTTACCCCTCCAACTCCATCTGTGTCACTCTGCCCCTGTGCACTTTGCTGCCACATTGGCTTTCCTTCTATTCCTCAAATACACCCAACACTTTCCAAATACAAGGCCTTTGCACTTGCTGTTCCATTGCCAGCTCTGCCTAGCTCTTCCCCCACTGCACTGCAGGACTAACTCCTTTTTGTCCTTCAGGTTTTAATTCAAATGTCACTGCCTCAGAAGCCCCCTCCTGTCACCCTTCATCACAGTTGCTCATTTGTCATGTCATGCCACTATCAGGTTTACTTGTCAATTTGCTTGTTTATTACCTGTCTTCATTCCCTTGGCCATAAGCACCGTAAGAGTAAGGACCATGATCGCGATGGTATTTCCAACACCTGGGACAACGCCTGGGCCACAGCGAATGCTATAGATTTCGCATCCAGCAAATACTGGATGAAAGAGTGGAGAAAGCTTCTACTGTTCAGCTCCAACATGAGCTTTAAAATGAGCAGAGGGAGGTGAAGGTCTGACCGTTCTCCCCAACCTGGGGGATGAGCGAGGAGCACAGAACTGAGGACTCAGAAAGCGACTCAAGAGGAAGGTGGGGAGAATGGGCCCAACTCCCCAGGTGTTCCAGGGCTGGGGGGTGTGGTCGTGGGGAGAGCCCTGAGCGACCCAGTTGATGGTGGGGACTCCAACAGGAAGGAGAGTAGGCTGCAGATCTGAACAGGGTGGGGAGAAAGGGGCAAAACAATGGCAGCTGGGACAGAAATGCTCCAAGGCTGATGAAGCTCAACAGCCACGTGAGGGAGGCTGTCAGATGGTGCCGTCCTCAGCCCAGTGACGTGAAGCACCCATGGTGGGATTCTGGTTAACAGTGCGGAGAGGGGTTTCTAGTAGAGAGTGGGAGAGGAAGACAGGGAGGAGGGCAATCTTCCGAGGTTTTGTTCTTAATCACGCTTCATGGCGATAACCACCTCGTGCCCTTCCTCCTAAGGCAGCCCCAGGCGTTGCTTCCGATCCCCTCCCCTTCCTCGAAACCTGTTTTGCTTCACACGCTTGTCTGTCAACAATGGCACACCTTCTGCCAACGTCCCTGTGATAAACGTGAATCCTAGCCTGAGGTCATCGTGACAGTGAGCACATTCCCCGTGGACCCTGGGCACGTGACAAAGAAGCCACTCTGGGCAACGTGAAGGGAGAAAAGCAATGCCTGATGTTTTTCCACAATGACCCTGAAGCCCAGATGCAGCTGGTCTTCCCTTTGACTCACTCAGTCCATTCCACTCCGAAACCATCGCTGTGAGGAAGCAGGGAGAGGGCAGTGCATGAAAAGAATCTGTCTGCATCTTCATTCAGGTACCTGATGACTGCCCAAGCGGAAAGTGGCTGAATGTCCAGGCCCGAGGGATGAGGAGTTTAGTTTGTTGATTTCAGTATAAACTAGGGATGATAGTACCTCCTATTGATTTATTAAATGTAGATCTGCATAAGACGTGCTCTCTGTTCTTAAGAAACCCATTCATTTATTAAATTCATTTATTTATTCATCTATTAAATGTAGATCATTCATTTATTAAATGTAGATCCGCATAAGACGTGCTCTCTGTTCTTAAGAAACCCAGCCCCATGAGGATAGGCCAACCGTGAAAGAGATGATTGATCTTTCCGTTCTATGAGGTTAGTCATTGTTAATTCCATTAAATAGATGAAGAAATTAAGGCCTATTAAAGGGAAGTGCCTGGCTCGGTTTCATGTATTCAGTGAGACTGAATCAGGGCTTATTCTGGAGGTCACAGCCCATTTCTGGGAACCTTTGTGTGAGCCTTGTGGAACAGGAAAAGCAAAAAGAAAAAGTCATCCAGCTGCTCCCACTGACTCTTCCTTTGGTCTTCCCAGGTGTGTAAGAAGGGAACGAGCCTGGGGGCCACACGGTAAGAGCAGGCATGAATCCAAGCTCTTCAGGGGCCTGCAGGAGGTGGCACATGAGGCAGAAGACACTCCCTAGTTCCTGACCCTGTGATGAGAAGAGGACACTGAAGAGCTTTATTAGAGGCATCCAGGAGTGGCGAGAACGTGGCGACACTCAGACAACCTTCCCATTCAGCACCTGACAGACGGCTCACCTAGCTCCCGGCTCACGGACTCCCTTCGTGCCCCAAGGCAGTCATAATATTTTTGTACTGTGTGAGCTTCAGCCACTTGCTTCCAGGGAGAGATGAACAGCCTATTCATGGCCTGCGTATCTCGGGTTTCGCATTCCAGAGAAGAAATTACTGCAGTTTTCAGAGAAAAGGAATGAGAGCTAACTTATGGGAAATTTTCACCTGACTCTTACAGAAGGATGACTTCAAAAGACCTAAAGAAAAAGGATATATATCCTTATATCCTCAGAAAAAAATGTCTGCACAATACGTAAGACACGGATAACAGTGGTTACCTCTGGGAATGGGAGAGAGGCAGCCTTTTACTTTACATTTTTGTATT